AACAATAACAATAACAATAACAATAACAATAACAATAACAATAACAATAACAATAACAATAACAATAACAATAACAATAACAATAATAATAATAATAATAATAATAATAATAATAATAATAATAATAAGAAAGATTATAAAGCGCACATCTCCACTAAAGGTGCTCAATGCGCATAGACAATTAAACCAACAAGATCTAAATAATTCCCAGAAGAATTTTCAGCAAAATCCAAATACCAATTATCCCATCGAGGCAATGTTGCCTCCCATATAAGTATACGCAGATACCCAAAGGCAGTATGTTGGGTATCAGCCTATAGACTGTGTAATTCATAAAGATACTTCGTAAAATTGTAAAATATACGGTATGGTATGTATATTATTAGATTATTTGGTATACGTCATTGGAGTTTACTTGATGCAATAAATAAATATGAATTGAATTAAAACGTTATAACAATGTTTTTCGTTTGCTGTCTCTGTATTATATTACGCTTATTTCAAAGACAAAAGATCACAATGCAAAACCGATGTCAAGAAACGTCTGGGATTCCAAACCAACCTGTCTCTAAAAACTGTAACAACATGATCATCGATTCCGGATCTCGATTCTCCCAAAGTGAATATCAATCCATATTTCAGATCAATTTTAGGGGAAAAATCTTGGGGGGGGGGGGCGCACGCCCCCCTTGGATACGCCACTGGTACCAAATAGATTTAGGATTGGATTAGCTACATTTCATGTGCAATTTTAAAGAGGTTTACAAAATAATACTATACAAGACATTGTATTCAAATTACTAGATACTTGGCAATTCTGTTTCCACTGACAATAACACAAACTATTAAATAAAGATTAAAATATACCTAATCATCAGAGCGCCAACAAACAAAGTAATAATTTACAACACGGTTCCGGTTATATTATTTGGTATGAAGTTTAAACACATTTATAACCTTCAAATTAAAATTTTAAAATGCATTGCATAAACGTTTTAATACAATTACACATTCTTATCACAAGTTATCGTAGATTAGAATAGGCCTAATAAATAGGGGTCTTGGCAAAGACATGATGGTGTACTTAAATAACATGCGTCATGCAAATCTTCTGTTAATAGTTTGTTTCAGGCACAGTCGGTTTTATAATGAGTTACAGTAACCCAGAAAAAAATCTGGATGCAAGCCTGCGACGTTCACATGCTAGAGAATGAGTGATCAAAGCGAGCGCATCCTCTAGTAGTTATAATAATGTATGCATGATTAGGTAGTGGTGAACTATAAAACGAACTTAGTTTAAACACAGTGCCACACAGTGCCAATTCAACTTAAGACATCGTTACGACTTACTATTTAATGTCAGCACATTAACCGATGATTTATAAACCGATATCTGTTCGCACCGTCATGGAAAACGTAAGTCAATACTCGGATTCTTAAATTATTGAGATAATTCAAACGCTAGTAATTTAATGATCGACTTACAACAAGTCACATGAAATTTACGAGTCAATAATTACTAAATGGTACGGTACTTTTAATTTAAAAAATTACTGTTTTTTTATTTTATTTTATTTTATTTTAAACGAACTATGTCTTTAAGGGCGCTGTAGAAAAAATGCAGCGTAGCGTACGGGGATGTTCACCGTCCGATACACTGGGCGATCATAGTGAATCGGCCTACATTTAAAAACTCTTCTAATTGAAGATCATCTCCAGTTAAATACTACTTTTATGCGGCCCCCAGGTGAATGCCTATCTTTTATAATTAACTATTTTCTCCAAGTCAAGTCTCCTCCTATTTAGAGACCAAAGGCTATGGTTCCGGGGACCTAAGTTCATTCATTCATTATGGTTTATTATTAAAACAACAAAAATTGACATTGCAGTATTGAACTGAATTGCGTCAATCTAACAAATATAAGGTAAAACAAACAACATTCACAAAACAAAGCAAAACATAGTATATATACATGCAAAATGTATTAAATATAACAATGTCAAACATGAAAATTGCAAAAATCACAAAGACCACAAGCTCATTAGTAATGAAAAAGTCAAATTAACAACAATTATTCAACAAAATTCAAGTCAACATGAAAAAATTAGACGATGCACACCACAAGACGATGTATTGCGCATTCAGTGTTTTGTATATGTTGAATAACGATGATTGGAGTACAACTCTCATCTGCTTCACACTACAGAAACTGGGGATAAGCTACGTACTTCTTAGCAGTACTTCTTATTTCTTAAAAAGAATTAAAATAAAGAATAAACCATAGGCCTACTGGTTTCTTTGGAGTATGTATCATGCTACTGTAGGCTCTTGTTAATTTACCAGTACTGTAGTACTAAACTAGTAGTTTTTGTTTTTTGTTTTT